AGTTTTTAGAAAGAGTTAACTGTCAAAAACGGTTAACAATTTATTTTTTGGATATATCAACAAAGTTGAAATGGTAAATTGGCCACCGTAATGATTACAAAAGCTGACGTTTCGAGCGTTAGCCCTTCGTCGGAGCGAATTTTCGTTCAAAAAAATAAGTGGTCGGAAATTAAACTATTGACACGCGATTTTGTCTCTTCGGCTGCTTGGGGGCGAATAGTACCTGCTAATTATTTCTGATCTACTGCCAAGAAACTCACGCAGGGCTGTATTGAGAGAATATTGACCGGCAATAGAGCATTTTGATTGGTTGATTTTAGTTATTGGCCCTCTGACTGTCCTAGTCGTGTAATAATCTCCTTTATTTTATGGCTGTGTCTCACAAGGACTGGGAACTACCGATTTTACGAATTTGATTGGCTGAAATTAATATTGAAAGCGGTCTAGATTTTCCCATCTAGACCGGCGGCATCTAGACTGGTCTAGAAAAAAAAAGGCACAAATAATATAAAGAAATTGGGATAGAAGACACAGCCATATAATAAACATCTTATTAACCGAGCTAGGTCGGTCTGTATGGGAAAGTCTTGACCTCGGTCGCTGGTACAGAACTCACTGCGTTCAGTCTGTCCTGGTGACCTCGGTCAAGATTCTCCCATACAGACCTCCCGCTCGGTTAATAAGAACTAAGTATGGCATATACCAATGCATGTTACTTAACGGTGAGAACAGTAGTTATGCATCATCGTCTTAAATTGAAAGTAGAAAACAGACTTTCCTTTGGCGTTTATCACTTTAAGTGATTTTCAGCGGTTAAATGTTGTGATTCGAGAAGTTCGAGGAGGCGGAACTTCGCACATGCGCGGACACCACTGCAATATTTTTCATGATTTTGGCCTCCGTTTGTAACTAGTGAGTAATTAATGAGTGGGCGTGGAGTGTCACTCTGCGGTGAGAACTATTATGTGCATTAAGGACCAATTAAATAGACACGACGGCGAAGCTGAGGAAGAGACAAAAAACGTGCAATACATGGACACACTTTTGTTGTTTGAATTTAACAGGTGGCTCCATGTTTTACTGAACTAAAAGCCGTCTGGTGTCTTCTGCAACCTAAGATTTTAAAATAAAAGATCGTCAACTTTCGAGAAGAAAAGCAAAAGTATTGCCGTAGTGGTTTTCTTTCTCCGTAGAAGTAATTCCAGGTGATTTTTGCAAAGAACTACCAGGCAGTCTGCGGTACTAAAAATGTGCAAGCAAAGCTAATAAATATTTTAAATGGTTTTAGCTTTACGAGCAATGTATTCAGAACGAGTGTTAACATCATCCCTTATGTAGTGAGCCACAAGTCATTTTGGTGACTTGCCAATAATTCCAATATTCCAATAATTCCAAGAATGCCAATATTCAGTGATTATTTGTTGAAGTTTGGTGATAACACTTGATGTTGTAAGGTCTTAAAAAAAATACTTTCTTGTCGAACTCAAAACGGATGTACAAAAAGGAAACGACAGGTGTTAAAAGATATGAGCTACTTAGTGCAAACGTCAAACAGGTAGCGACATCATGACCGAAATGATTTTACTAAAAACGTATGGTATAAATATGCTCCTATATCAAATCTTGTCGCCATAAACTTAGCTCACAATTTCAGTAACTGTCTGAAGAGCTCTTTGATGGGCGCACATTCATCATCCCGGGAAAAGAAAGAAAAAAAAAGCAGAACAAAGTCGTTTCTGCGTTCACCTGAGTAATGTATGCGGTTCAGGACGAATTGAATAGCATTACTCATTAGCTAGAACTGCGATATGCCTTATCGGCATAAACAGAACGAAAAGAAAAAGCTTGGTTTAATCATAGTTAATAGAGAGGACTGGTTAGGAGACCCGGCGAACGTCCCCTCTATTAACTATGGTTTAATCCTTGAAAAGAGAATTATAAAGATCCTAGTGAAAGCAGCCAAGTTTACATTCGGGCGTTACACATGCTCTGATATTAGTCGTTTTAGACGTTCGAGTCATTAATTTTTATTAAGAACTCGTTGTTAAATATATGTGAATTTATTGACACATTGATTTATTCATTATATGCAAAACGGTGAATGTTAATCTGTTCAGTTAATGCATTGAAATTTTCTTCTTCCGTATAAACAAATCATATATTGAAATATTGATTTACGCACTAAAATTAGTGGATTACGAGCAGAGAATATCAATGAATTTCAAAATAGTAAAATCATTGATAATTTTACTTGTAAAATAATAGCAATATTTGACACGATTTCTTTATTTTTAGTGTTTTTTCTCCTATTCTTCGTAGTGTAGTTTAGCACCTATTCACAAGCAGAATACCGAACGGCTGCTCACAGACCATGATATCAGAACAACGAAATACTCTAAAGCGGTATGTGTGCTCACTAAGGCCACAATGGCCTTACAAAGAGCTGAGCTTTACTAGAATGGGAGAGTTAATTTGTGAGAAGACAGCTCCGAAGTAGAAGGACGAGGTCTGCCAGTATGCAAGAATTTTTCTCTCGGTCTCTCTGCGTGTGATTGCAGCTTTTGTAAGGATGACTCGATAATGACTCAGGAATGACTCAAGAATTACTCATTTTAAAGAATAATTCAAGGGTGACTCAGCTTGTAAATACAGCCACCTAAATTGTGATCTGATGCATGATGACACAAAGCACCTGCCGTAGAAATTTTCAGTTAAATTATTGGACGCCTCGGAAAATGTGAGTCCCACAATCAATGGATTGTGCGAGTTTAAAATTAGTAAGTGAAAGGTGATCATTTGCTTTCTGTTTGCAATTCCACTTCCAAATTCCCTAATTTTCCACTTATTGCGTGACGGTGATACCTGGAGACTGGGTAAACTGCTGAGTCATTCCTAAATTATTCATACCTCAGCCCTTTTTCACTGATCGTGCAATAACTCAACGCTCGGGTGAGATTTAATAGTTTGTCAGACTTACCCACGAGTCATTCAAGAGAAAATGTCAGCTTACGAGTATCACTACTTCAATGTCCGCGCAAGAGGAGAGGTTGGTCGTCTCGCTTTGGCTGCTGCAAATTTAGAATTCAAAGATTTACGCCACACTCGCGAAGAATGGCTCGAAATCAAAGCTTGTGAGTATTGCATTTTCTTGATCAACATAACCTCTGAGTGATTTTCGCTGTGACTTCTCCGCTTCAGATGATTTAAAACAGAAACTTGAGGAAAGGAAACATAAGAGAAACCGTATTCATATTTTCAAACCTTTCTAACAAGCCATAAATCGACCGACGGCTAGTAGTCGAATTTTGCAGCATTTTCACCTTGTGAAAAATTGCCTAAAATACCTACGACTGACGTTATTTTTACAATTTCGATCGATTTGGTTTCTGCATTCGTAAGCTACATGAATGAAACCAATATGGAAGTTTCCAGAGTAGAGTTTTGCTTGAATAAATTAAGGTGTGCTAGAGAATCTGGTTACGCAATATGTTTATCGTACTATAGACGGCCGCTGCCACTCTTCACAAAGGTGTTAAATAATGTCAGTCAGCTATATCACAAAATATTTCAATCAAAAGGTTTTATGCGTCCTGTACTATTCTAGATTATGAGCAGTTTCTGCTTTTCAGCGAAGTCTTTCACCCGGTTAAAAGAAAAAAACTGTGTTAGCTTACCGCACGGAACCCTGGGAGTGCGGCGCAAAATCCATTTTTTTTTTTTCTTTTTGACTGACTTGATTTGCATTTAAACTCAATGCAGGCTTCATTCAAAACAACGCCGTCGTTACTTGATGTCAAACCGGACTCTCCCATCAAACCATCGACATGTTACAACTACGTTTAACCTCTGTTTGTTTTTGTTTTAGCTGGAAAGCCTCCACTCGGTCAAATGCCATTTCTTGTGACCCCTGAGGGAAAAACACTTGCGCAGTCCGGTGCAATTATGAAGTACATTTGCAAAAAGGGAGGTTGGTAATGATATGGCTTGTGATAGAGCCATGAAATACTTGTAGAACTACAGTGTAATTTGTAAGTCAGACTGGAGCCGTTATTATCAGAAAAAATCACAATACAACCAGTACCAGGCAAAGAATAAAAAGTTAATTATAACACAACCAAAGTACAGCGCGCGCTCTATTGGTCAATTCTGCGTCCACCATTTGCCCATGGGTGTACGCTGCTGACGTGAGCAAATGCAAAAACTAGTCCGTGCGCGCTTGTTTTCTCTTGTCACGTAAGATTTGTGAAATAAAAGAAAACACTTTTACTACAATATATCAATGTTATGTTATAAAACAAATGGTAAACACCACAGCGTACACTATTGAGTCATGGATGCATTTAGGAGGTTTCCTAAGCACTCAAAAAGCTAGAGTCGCTCTCGGCTATTGCCCCGCGCGACTCTTACGCTTCTTTCGTGGTTAGCAGCCTCCCCCGTGCATCCATAACTCAATAATGTACGCTGTAGTGTTTACCATTTGTTAAATATTAGCAGTGCATGATTCCCCCCATTACACAACGATGATTTAATTTGTAAGCAAAGATCAGCTACCAATCAGATTCTTATAGTCGTTGAGTGTCTCATGATATGCTAAAATATATTTGTTGCGGTGCTAACCTCAAGCTCCCCATATGAACCCTTCTAGTCAATCCTTTTTTCCTTCCTCTTTTACTCGTCCTCTTAAAAATAATTCTATATCTATGTGCTACGGTGCTATGGTGGCCAACAGAGGTCACTACAAATTTCGAAATAAAAACACATTTCAAAATTAAAAAGCACATTTCAAAATTAAAAAACACATTTCAAAATTAAAAAACACATCTTAAAATTAAAGAACACATTTCAAAAGTCTGAAACGAGTTTACAAGTCTACAACAACATTCCAATCATGTATACTCATTTTAATTCACTGTACGAATTTCTAATTTAACAAGACAATTTTCCAAATCATGAAAACGGATTTACACCATTTCGAAAACACATTTCGAAATGTTTGCAACACATTCGACCCAGGACCCAAAGAGTTGACAGAGAAAAGAGTGGTTACCCTGCTATCTCCTCGTTTTCGTCGCCATGTTTTTGCTCCACATGTGGAGAGACGCTGCAAACATCGTTTTAATTTCAGGACTTAACAATTATCAATTGTCTCTAAACATTAGTTTACAAACATAGGTACTTGTATAATAGTCCAGGGGAGAATACCAGAAAAATATTGTATCACAGCATCCCACAATAGCAGCTAAAAGTAGATGTAAAAGTTCCTAATGGACCTGTGGGACAACACCCTGATCGGGAATTTTCCTTCCCAGGTTTTGCATATATCCTTTGTAAAATTCCAAACAGAAATAGAATTGTATAGCTAACCTAATGTACTCACCTGGTAGGATAGATGCATGTATAAAAATATAATGCAATGTATTCTCCGCTCTAACAGTAATCAGCAACGTTTGTTAGCGGATTTGTTTTGTTTATAATCTTTACAAAGGATACATGGGAATCTTGGAACATAAATGCCTGATATTGGGTGACCCACAAGCCCATAAGTAAGACCCAGTCTTAATGAAATCTTCGCAGATGTCTACAATTTTTACGCTGTTTTTTTAGCTGTTTGTTTTTGGGGTGCTAAGACCTCCCTCTGGACTACAAAGAGCAAAATGAGTAGAGAGCAACAAGTGTCTTAAATATCACCAAGGGGAAGAGGAATCAGACTGGCATTTAAAGGAAAGAGTTAGTTTTCATGATTGAGATTGAACATATCTTCACATAATTGATATATATTTAAATTTTTATGCTTATGCAGTTGATTCCAGATCAATAAATTTGTGATTTATTAAGTTGGTCTGTATCCATGTCTTCTGGATTCTATAGCGGCAGGTACAAAAAGCAGGTCACAGGTCACACGTCACAGGTCACAGGTCACAATTAAAGAGTTATGCACCGGATAGAGTAAAGGCGTTGCGTTATAATATACATGCGTTCCGGTTTTCGTGTAAGAATAGAACAATAAAATGTCACTAGTTCAACATTCTGTTGGGTCTACTGGTGTTGTTTCCTCTGTTCACAAGCTTGAAGACTTCTTTTTAATGTGCAGACAGAAATAAAATTTTCTTCGAGCTATAGGGGCTTGGAACGAGTCTGTGAGAGAAGCCTGGAAGGGGAAATTCCCTCGTACTCGTGAGAATCATGGCGGAGGAAGGAGAGGATTTTGAGATAAGAGATTAACGTTTTTTCTCGCTTTTTTGGGTCTTATCAGCTGGTTGTAAAGCCATTTATTTCCTTATCCATCATCCTAACACATACTTATTTACTAAGTATCGACTGTAATTCAATCATAACCTGCCGATGAAGGTCTTGTTGTGGTTGTGTTTAGTTGTTCCTGCAATATTGAATATCTTGCGACGGTATGTTTTAGCTTTTTCAATAATGTGACCTGTGACCTGTGACCTGTGACCTGCTATTTGTACCTGCCGGATTCTATAGTGCCATCTAGAAAACTATTAAGTGGTTGAGTAGTGTGCAAGCTGGCTCACCTGTGGGTTTTGTTTCTAAACTTTTTTTCTTTTTGTGGGGGGGAGGGGAGTTTGGGGATTTCTCTGATGCACTAAAAAAGAACCAAATGTAAGGGGGTAAAATACTCAGAAAATAAACCCACAGGAGAGATGTCTAACAGGCCACATGAAAATGGTAGGGCTGCATGGCCAGAAATTCCGGACATCGCGACGGCGAACGCGTGGGTTTACTTGGCAATATGGCCGCCAAACTCTTAAAGACAAGCGACTAAATACAGGAATGACTCCGACCTGTAATTGGATGATAATAATAGTAAAAGTTTGTAAAAGTTAATAAGTTACATCTTAACTCCTTGTACGTGAGTATTGTTTAACCGTGTGTCTCCAAGCGGAACAGGGAAATATCAATGCAACTGAAAACTCCGATGTGTCAAACAAGAGATGGTTACTTACATAACGAAGGGGAGACCTTTCTTGTTCAGCGATATTCCAGAGAGGACTAAGTCATCTGCCGACTCGTTCCCCTGACTAAACTTATTTAGTCAGTGCAGAGTCAGTTCAGGTGGACGACTAGAGACTGGAGCCATTCCTGTATTTGACCGCTGGCAGGAATGGCTCCGACTCATGCGTTTATTAATTTTCTTTTTTTTTTTCTTTTTGGCGAAATAAATTTTAAACTGAAATAAAATCCAAAGAGCTTTTTATTAAGTTCTTCTTAAGTTGAACATTACAATGCTTGTGAATGGAGCCCTCGTAAATTGATACAAGTCCATGTGATGTCTAAAGTTTAATGCAGCAACTGCATGTCACGTTTCGAAAATCACGCAATGTTACGTGACGCTCCGACCGATATTTTTAATTTACAGTGTGCTCTGCGGGAGAAATGTGGCTTGGCCGCAATCGAGGGAGTTTTCTACCTGGATCATTGACTGGCAAGAGTACCATATTACCCCATATATTAATTATGCATTCAGACTAGTAGACTTTGTTTTAAAAGTTTTGTCGTGAAAGACAAAGAAGTGGAATGCATAATTAACGTATAGGGTTAATTTTATGGTACTCTTTCCACATTGACTTTCTGGGAAAATTGTTCACATGAAAGACAAATTCCTTCATCGGGCTCCTCGTCCATTTTTGCACAACACCGAAAGGAAGAAAGTTGCGGATTACTCTAATTTCGCTTGGCAATTTTTAAAAAAGGAAATACTCACGTGCAAGGAGTTAAGATATAACGTATTAACTTTTACTATTTTTATCATCCAATTACAGGTCGGAGCCACTCCTGTATTTAGTCGCTCCAGTTGGAGCGACTTAATATAAGAATGGCTCCAGTCTCTGATCGTTCGCCTGAACTGAGCCTAGACTGTCGAAATGAGTTTAGTCAGAGGAATTTGTCAGAGGATAACTTAGTCATCGCGGATCACCGCTGAACGACCTCGCAGAACAAGAAAGGCCCTCCCTTCGTTATAAAAGTAACCATTTCCTGTTTGACACCTCGGTGTTTTCGCTCGCATTGTTATTTCACTGTTCCGCTTGGACTCACACGGTTAAACAATACTCACGTGCAAGGAGTTAAGATGTAACTGATTAACTTTTACAAACTATTACTATTTTTATCATCCAATTACAGGTCGGAGCCATTCCTGTAATTAGTCGCTAGTGGATTTTCGCGAAGACGCAATCTTGCCTCACTAGCATAAATTCATTAACTGGCCCGCTGCTTATGCGCGTGCTCAAATGTCCGCAGTTTCTGGCCATGTGAACACTAGAAATGTACCAAAATTTCTGGAGAAGTGGTAGGACTAACCCTAACAGCCCTGTCCCTTCTGCACTGCCTTTTCACTGAGCAACCATGTCAACACCTAGCACCTAGCTACAAATTATTGCATTGTAATCACAGAAGGTATGAACTCCCCAAAAGTCTGCATAAATACATGTAGATTTTTGTTTTTTGCCTATTTATTTAGAAATTTTTACATTTTACTACTAATACATTGCTAATGTACTTCACTAATGCATTTATGCCCGTTGCCGGATTTCATAACCGTGCGTGCCTGGGGCGAATCCCTAAAATATTGTAATGATTGGCACAAGACCTATATACAGTCGAACCTCTTTTAAGCGGTTACCCTCTATCGAGTAGTCATTTAGCAAAGTCCCAAATGTTTCTCTTCACATTCCCTGTAAATCTAACCCCTATTTGACCTCTATTGAATGGTTTTCCACATTTTCTAATGAGATTTTTAATGATTTTTGTTGGAAAAGCAATAAGGAAACAAATAATTAACACCTATATGACTGCAGTTTATCAAGTGTCGGTTTCTGATCATGGAGTCTAATCTGCTTGTGCGCGCCCAGTCACCGCAAAATTTAAAAGGTGTTTGGAGCGTCTCTCCACACGTGGAGCAAAACATCGCGCCGAGATCGAGGAGAGAGCAGGGTAACCACTCTTTTCTTTGTCAACTCTTTGGGTCCTGGGTTGAATGTGTTGCAAACATTTCAAAATGTGCTTTCGAAGTAGTGTAAATGCGTTTTCATGATTTGGAAATTTTTTTTTGTTAAATTAGAAATTCGTACAGTGAATTAAAATGAGTATACAGGACTGGAATGTTGTTGTAGACTTGTAAATTCGTTTCAGACTTTTGAAATGTGTTTCTTAATTTTGAAATGTGTTTTTATTTCGAAATTTGTGGTGACCTTTGTGGGCCACCGTAAAAATGTGCAGTCAACTGCAGTCTTTTCAAATTACTCTGGTATCATTTACAGGTTTGAGTCCAACCGATCCTTGGGATGAAGCAGTAGCGGACCAGATATGCGGTGGTGTCGACGATCTTCGTCTTTCATTCATTAAGGGCCACTTTGAAAAAGACGAGGCTAAAAAGGTATATATCTGTCAAAGACTTGCAGTTTCTTGGCTCAAATAAGCCATTTGCGAATTCCCCTTGGCCTCTCTTTGAAAACGAGGCCTGGCGCTCAACTGTTACGTATGAAAATGAGTTTAAATTTTATGTGAATGAAAACTTTTAATCATATGAAAGGATGAGCACCTGGACTCGTTTTGAGAAAGAGGCCAGAGGTGATTCAGAAATGTGCTCTTCCAACAAGCACAAACTAAAACCGAAGAGACAGCCATTAATTGAAACCAGTGGATTGACACTAAACCACCTCTTGTTCAATAGTTATTACAATATGCTTTTTCACCACAACTACAATTACTGGGTCACCTTGAGAACGCTGACTGATCACCTAGAAGGAAACGAAAATTTATCCCATCTAAACACAAATTGATGATTCTCGTAATTGCACAAAACTAAGTTAGCAGAGGTTACTAATGATTTAATTGTGACTCATGAACCCGTGTTCTAATGGGTCAGTTTTGAGTAAATGACGCTAGTAATGGTATATCCTTTCCATGTTAACTCAGTTTGTTTCGGTTTTTGTTTTTCAAAGGAAGAACTAAAGAAAGAACTCTTTGAAACCACGCTACCCGCCCGACTTGCAAATTACGATGCTCTTCTCAAAGGAACATATTTCTTGGATAATAAAGTAAGTTGCTAAGTTACGGGTGTATTGCACTTGTTTTGGGACTCATTGTAACATAGAAGCTGGCGAAGTGGGCTCCAAAACGAAAGGTTTGGGTTCAAGCCCTAAATTGGTCTGTGTGTTGTGTTTCTGGGCAAAACGCTTTTTTCTCGCAGCGCCTTGCTTAGGGATTACCTGGATTCGAATAGCATACCTTCCGAAGAGGGTAAAAATACTCCATGCCTCTTGATGGCAAGGAAACGGGAAATAGGCCTCTTGTTGCCTCTGTGTACCGTGCAAAATGGTAACCCTGTGGGACAGCTATTCAGTAAAGACTGGTTTTCACTTGCGACGGAGTCGTAGTC